ACACACACACACACACACACACACACACACACACACACACACACACATCCATGGAGACCACAGAGGGTGTCAGATCCCCTGAAGCTGGTTTAAGGTACCATGTGGGTGCTGAGAACTGAATCTTGTCAACTGCAAGAGAAGTAAGAGTTCTTAACTGCTGAGTCATTTCCCCAGCCCTTACATATTAGTATTTTAAAATGATATCCTGGTTGCCTAGAAATCTTTAAAGTAGTGAAGTAGCACAAAGGAATTTTCCACTTCAAAGAAGAGGGCATCAGGAAAGGGGTCTGAAGACCAGAGTCAGGTTACACATTGTGGTTTTGACTATGATACTGGTCAAAAAACTACTTCTTATAAGCAGGCTGAAACTGTTAGAGATGATAATTATGAAAGTGAAAACAAAAAAACAAAACAAAACAAAAAAAAAAAACAACAACAACAACAACAACAAAAAAACAAAACTCCAGGGAAACAAAATCTTCTAGACACAATGATCCTGATCTTCAACTGTCAAAATTTAGTTGATGTGCTCTTCAGAAATTTGTAAAAACCAACTATAGTTTATTTCAACCAGTGCACTGACTACAATACTTAGGGAAGATCAGACACTGATATGAGGACATGAAAGTGCATTACTAAGCTTGATTACATTCAATTTCTTTTAGTCATCGTCTTGGTACTTAGACATGGAAGCACTGCACTGGGGGAGACACTGGTCTTTTTCTTTTGGTCTCTCTAGCTTTCCATCCTTTCACACAGCTATACTCTGAGTGATGAGGTGAAGCCATTTGAAATGTTCACTGCTCACTGTTAAGGTGACAACAGCAGACTTCCACACGTGACTGACTGACACTAGGAAATAAAGGGCTGTCACTACTTTCCACCAGCCTCCTTTCCATTGTCTGCCCAGTAGAAGGAGATGAATGTCAAAGCTGTTCTTGGGAACCTCGGTCCTTTGGAATTCCCATGCCACCTAACTGCTCCCCTGTGCCAAGCATGCTTCTGACCACCCAGATGTTTGAGATTCGCCTGACCTAGGATGGATCAGTCAGCACCAGAAAACTGCCTCTAACTCCACAGAATTCAAAGCAAGGGAATCCTTTTAGCCTTCATGGCTATTAGAGAAAAATTAAACAAAAACGCTGATGCCAAACATGTGAGTCATTTCTCCACATGTGAAAACCTGAACATACCTCATCTGGGGCAGAAAAGGAAACCTTCAGGTGACTTGGGATCAAAGTGATTTTGAAAACAAAAAAAGCTACATTCTCTATGGAGTAGATCACTGTCTGAAGCTAATTTCACTCAACTTAAAACCAT